CTTGTGCCAGCGAGCTGCGGTTCTGTCTTCATTCTGGTTTTTATCCCAGAAGTGTTCAGCGAGCTACAAGGGTTATTGCACCACTCTCAAACATTTCTAATGCTCAAACAACATCAGTGTATTGAGAGTTAAACACTCTGTTACAACACGTTAACAAGAGTTTATATAACAAGCCATTCAAAACACTGTTTATTAGAGAGACCATCATCCCAACAGCAACGAGCTCTTATCTTACGAGCTCAGAGGTGGAACTCTTTAAGGTCCCTTCCAACCCACACCATTCTATGATTCTATAAATTCAATACTATATTTTCATACTATAGGTCAGATTTTCATATCATACCTTTTATACACATCAATCTTAGCTCCTTGTCCCTAACAGAAAGAGAAGTAAAATAGGAGAAGACAGTCAAAATTCTGTGACTGTCTCCACGTATTACAGCAAAAGGCAGAGCTGATTTTTCAAGCCCAAGTTAATCCTTTTTGTCTCCAAGTGACATTCCTTCCACAGAGAAAACTCCCAGGGCAAGCTGTATATGGTTTTCTCCTAGTAAGGGCCACTTAAATCTGGATTGCATTATGGCTACTGAGGAGAACCAGAGCTACCACAGGGTGACACTGGGTCCCATCAGCTTTAAAATCCAATGTTTTACTTCCAGCACCCATTCTTTATGGACACACTTCTGCACCAAGGCCTGAGCTTTGCCTGACAGCTGCAAACCCACAGAGCTCTTCAGTTTAAGGCCCAGCTCATAACAGTGCAGAAAAGAAACAGCCTCTTTACCATGTCAATTATTCAGCACAGATCAGGCAGCTTCTCTACCTGCCTGGACAAATGGAGAAACCTGACTTTCAAAATAAAACATATCCAGAGCCTGCAATGACTCCCCTAGCAGGAACTGATATGGGACTGTAAAAGTGCTGCAATCCCTGTGATTTGCAGCCTGAATTGATCTTATGGACAAACAAGCAACTGTCCCAAGAATCAATTTGATTATGCACTGTGAAAACAGGTTACCACAGGAAAGTTCACCAAATTTCAAGCTACCTAAGGAAAACCACCCCTGAAAAACACTTTTAAATAGAATATAGGAACACTAGGATTATGCTGAGGAGGTCATAGAGGAAATAGTTCAGTACTGCCTGCAGAACTACTAACCTACAGCCAACTACAGCCTGTGTATCATATTTAAAGAAAATCAGGTTTAAGTGTCAGCAGACACCATTTCTAGCCCATTCTACTTCAGACCTTTGAGAAGGATTTCCCAGGAAACTCCACAGCCTACAAAATCCTAATTTTCTTAGATTAACAAAAAGTTCCCTGCACAAGTTCTTCCTAGTCCAGCAGCAAGCTTTGTTCCTGCACATCAGGTTTTGGAGCTTGCTTTTCCTCTGGGGAATGAAGCACACAAGATCAAGTAGAAACCACCATGCCTGGTGTTTGATGGAAGAAGTGGAAACTCTGCCACTTGACAATGATTATAATAAGTCTTAAACAAAGAGGAAATGCTGAATCTGACTTGAACTTTCAAGAGAAAGAACAATAAAAGGAATAAGGGGGTGAATGAAGGAAACCCATGAACATCTGCTCCTACTGCATGCAGCTGAAATTCAGTCTTCCATTTCTCCTGCGAGCAAATCCATAGAGCAGAGAGGTTTTGCTGAAACAATTCTTGGGTCACAAATAGGAAACAATTAGTTCAGCTAATCTGCAGAAAAATACAGGGATCATGCCAAAGAAAATCTTGTTGGAAGCGATGCTTTCATCCCAGTCAAAGAATTGTTTCCCAAGCCAAGTCCCCCTTTTGTTACTACCCTTCCAGTTAACAGACACAACTGCAGCTGTATCAGCACACATGTCCTGGCCCAGGAGGGATACTTGAAGACTGAGTAACAAAAAAAGCAGAATTGCAGAGTATCAGTGGTTTGAAGTACAAAGCAGTCTCAGTCCAGATCAGTGTGTTGTTGGTAGGCACAAAATCCCCTCAGAATATGAAGCTTCTTCAGGTTGCTTCACCTGACTGACTGACAATGTTCTTCCTGGAGCAGGAAGCTCAGGCAATTAAAATCAGTAATTCAATAGTCAGATAAACAAGGCAAAAAAGATATTTTTGTTTCTCTTGCCACTTGCTCCACCATCAACAGAGCAAATGGATCGGGGGATAGAAATCTGCTAAAGCCTCTGACAGAGATGGGAATGTCAATAATCAGTGTTCTAGAAACTGACTTATACATACTTCTATTAATACATTTGAAAATTATGGAAACTCATTCACAGAGAGGAAGATGGTTCTGCCCTGTCCCTATCCTGAAGGACAAAACCTTCCTGCAGGTCTGGGCAGCACAGATGCACAAGTATCTGGTTCTTGTGGACTTGGATGGACTCAAAGTTCCCTGGTGGTTTTACTTGACTGAAGTGACCAGTAATTCTCCATGTTTTTATGTATTTATATACAAAAGCACTCAACACTGCTGAGATGGAACACTGTGTACCTTTTCTTAGAAAAGCAGGCAGCAATCTCAGCAGCAGTGGCAATCTTACAGCAGGTAAACAATGCAATACAGAACTCTGCCTCAGCTCCACTCTACAGAGCATTATGGTTTTAAAATACTTTTCTTCTCTAATTTCTGTTTATTTCCATGTTTTTTTCCTTCTCCCTGATAGAAGAATGTGACTTTCACTGTATGAGGACAAATCCTGTGTTTAAAAAATGCCTTTTAGTTCTATAAGAGAGGTTTGGAATCAACAGCAGGTCTTAGTGAGGTTATTAAGAATCCACTGCCACAAATCCCACACACAGGTACATTAAGGTGAAACACCCCCAAACTTCTTCAGTTCCCTTCCAACCAAAGGCTTAAAGTGTGATCCTGAAGGTCCCTTCCAGAGAAGGAATAGCAGGCACAAAGCGGATACACACATGAACTGTAAATGTTTCAATTAGCAATATATAAAAATATATTTATATTATATAATACATACAATATATGTAATATATATAAAACCAGAACTTTCAAGTAGCAATATTTCTATCTGAATTGTCTTCATAGTGTGATCAACTCCAATTATGAGTATCCCAATAATTTTCCAGTAAGATTCAAAAAAGTCTTTCCTGCCCACAGGATTTGCAGGACTGCTCTAGTAAGTGTTGAACCAGCTCTGCAGAGCCCAGGGAGGATCATTCTGTCCCAAAACTGAAGGACAGCTCAAGCAGCAGCTACTGGGGGGCAGCAGGGCCAAAGGCATTCCCCAGTGCAGTCCTGATGAGCAGAGCTTTGCTGGCAAAGTGACACAGAACCTGTTTACACTTCCTGCAGCTCACATGGATGCTGTTTTCCCTGGTTCCAGCAATCACTCTCAGCATGGAATGAGCAGCCTGGTC